CATATCCATATCAATATCAATATCAATCGAAGAAGGAATAATTCTTGGGAAAAAGGGTTACTTTAGTATACAGAACAGAGTACATTCACTCACGCACGCACTCACGCACTCACGCACTCATCCTCCCACATACCGGTACGACGGTTCGTTTGCCCAGCATCATACATTACCTACCGACCCAGGACTTCTATTTGCTCTGCAGAAAAACCCCCTCATCCCCTCCCTCGTCTGTTCTCAACTCTATCTCATCCATCCATTCCCCATCCCGCCAAAGCAAAGGAACAAACGTCCGTCCCACTTCATCATCTCACCTACATACCCGTGGACATCCATACATCCATCCATTCATCCATCCATAACATAACTTTAACTTTACATCTCAAAACATCCCAATTGATCAATCATTCATCATTCATCATTCATTTTTTCATCATTCATCAAAATAATACTCAACTCACCCGCGTCACCCACTTCACCCACTTCACACCCACTTCACACCCACTTCACCCACCACCTCATTCACCTACCTCACTTACTTTATTATTCTCCGACGACACTTTCGTACATTTGGCAACATTACCTCTCCTTCGTATACCTAGATATCCAAAGCTTGAATCAATTCCCCGATATTGTTTCAATCAATATACTATCCCGAATATAAACCTCGCCCCTTCATTTACTTATTGTACGCGACGCAACGAAACGCACCGAAACGCAACGCACCACAACCCATCCATCGTATCGCAATCAATTACTACACATTTTTTGACAGACGTTCCCAGACATCATTTCATCCTCTTGCATGCGGAACTTTTTCTTTTTTTTGCGACAACGCAACCCATCAACATATTATTCAGTCATCGGCGCCGCATGCGAATATTCCAACAAGATCTCTCCATTTGAATCATTCATGTTATATCTCAATTGAAGGATTGTTTTTCCAATTCTATTTTAAAGAGAGAAAAAAAAAAGATTTTCATCAAGTAATTTGGGGTGAAGACCCGAGCGGCTCGCTGGTCGATTTACAAGCCCTCCTTCGCAATTCCAAAAAAATTCAACAAAGCCTGTGTGCTCCCTCCAAACCATACCATCGCATCCAATTCACTCTCATTTTCGACTTTTATTCAACCTTACGATAATATATTTCCTTCTTTTCAACAGAACTTTGCTCAACTATTCCAACTATTGTCTGATCTTTCGAATCTTTTTAGAAGTACATACATACATCATACAACATACATACTTACATATCACCACCTGCTCCAGGCATCTTACAATAATTTCGAATCATCCTCCACCAATCTTTCGATCTATCTATCTACCCTTTTCGACCAACCAAAGAAAAGAGATCGACAACTCTCTTTGTTCTTTTTTGCGCAACACACCACGGTGTATCAAAGACCCCATTGAAAGTGTTACAAAAGATATTGGCACTTCAATTTAATTTACAGAAAAATCCGACTTGTTCGGTCAACAAACGATATGAGTGTAATGCTTCAAACCCCTTCTCGGGCATCAACAGCCTCATCTTCTTCCTTCCAACCAGTTTCTCGACAAAATACCATGTCTTCACACGATGGGGCTCGCTCTGCCCGTCAATCAAAGAGATATTCTATGACTACTCTATATCTCTCCATGTCTGCGAACGAGAAGGATTTGGAAATTGAGGATGATCTTGCTAAAGGTAAGAATTCTGGTGCAATTGGCATTGGCTTGAATGTTGTACTGATGCATTGATGTAGCACAAAAGGTTCTACGAGAGCTCAAGTCGAAGATTTCATCACAATCGAAGAAGAATTTCGTGTTGGAGAAAGATGTTAGGTATTTGGACTCGAGAATTGCATTATTGATTCAGAATCGCATGGCTTTGGAAGAGGTAGGAACCTAAACTTCCCAGGACAAGTTTCACAACTAATATCTCTTTCAGCAAAATGAGGTAGCTAGTCACTTGGAAGATGCGACCGACTTACAAGAAGGATTCTTCCCAAATGACGAGAAGACACAAAAATATGGCAACCTTTTGTTTTTGCTTCAATCGGAGCCCAGGCACATCGCACATTTGTGCCGTCTTGTCACTATGGCAGAGATCGATTCTTTACTGCAGACAGTCATGTTCACAATTTACGGAAATCAATACGAGAGCCGTGAAGAGCATCTGCTCTTGACTATGTTTCAGGTTAGCGACACCCCAGGTGAATTGAGCTGCTTCCAATGCTGACACTTGTTTCGTAGTCTGTCTTAACATACCAATTTGATAACACGCCAGAATATTCCTCCCTCCTCCGTGCGAACACACCAGTATCTCGCATGATGACAACATATACTAGAAGAGGTCCCGGGCAGAGTTATTTGAAGACTGTACTGGCAGACAGAATCAATGGACTTATTGAGCTGAAGGATCTCGACTTGGAAATCAATCCCCTTAAGGTCTATGAAACAATGATTACACAGATTGAGCTGGAGACAGGAGGACTTCCGGCTTCCCTACCCAGAGGAGTAACAGCAGAGCAAGCGGCAGATAATACACAGGTCCAGGCTATTATCGAACCAAGATTAACAATGCTTATGGAGATTGCAAATGGATTCCTGACAACAATTATCGATGGGCTAGAGGAAACACCATATGGTATTCGATGGATCTGCAAACAAATTCGAAGCCTCACAAAGAGAAAGTACCCTGATGCCAACGATCAAGTGATTTGTACACTTATCGGAGGGTTCTTCTTCTTGCGATTCATCAACCCTGCTATTGTCACCCCTAAATCATATATGCTCATTGATGGAACTCCAGCCGATCGACCTAGACGAACTTTGACCTTGATTGCTAAGATGCTTCAAAACCTTGCCAACAAACCCTCATATGCAAAGGAACCATATATGGCCAAACTTCAACCATTCATTCAACATAACAAAGAACGAGTCAACAAGTTTATGCTTGATCTTTGTGAAGTTCAGGATTTTTATGAAAGTTTGGAAATGGACAACTATGTAGCATTATCTAAGAAGGATTTGGAGCTATCAATTACCCTCAATGAAGTTTATGCTACGCATGCCTTACTCGATAAACACACGGCCGAACTCAACAAGGATGAGAACTCACATTTGGCAGTAATCTTGGCCGATTTAGGACCAGCCCCTGCACAATTACCCAGGAAAGACAACAGGGCTATCAACTTGCCACTGTTTAGCAAATGGGAAACCGCGATTGATGATTTGACGGCTGCACTCGACATTACCCAAGAGGAAGTATTCTTTATGGAAGCAAAGTCAACATTCGTTCAAATTATGAGATCAATTCCAAGCAACAGCGCTGTGGCGCGTAGACCGCTTCGTCTTGAAAGAGTTGCTGATGCGGCAGGTCAATACCGAAATGATGCTGTCATGGTACGAAAAGGTATTCGGGCTATGGAATTATTGAGCCAGTTGCAGGAATTGGGGGTCATTGATAAGTCGGATCAATTCAGCCTTTTGCGGGATGAAGTTGAACAAGAACTCCAACATCTTGGATCACTCAAAGACGGAGTTATTCTCGAAACTCAAAAACTCGATCAAGTTTTCAAGACCATTCGAGATCACAACACTTATCTAGTCGGTCAACTCGAAACTTACAAAAGTTATCTGCACAATGTTCGAAGTCAAAGTGAAGGTACCAAGCGAAAACAACAAAAGCATCAAGTCTTGGGTCCGTATAAGTTCACTCATGGCGAATTGGAGAAACAAGGCGTCATTCAGAAGAGCAACGTACCCGACAACAGAAGAGCCAACATCTACTTCAACTTTACCAGTCCTTTGCCAGGAACCTTTGTTATCTCGTTACATTACAAAGGTATGGAACATCGGGTTATCCTTCTAGCTCTATGAATACATGCTAACGTTACTAGGACGAAATCGTGGCCTACTGGAACTTGATCTGAAACTTGATGACTTACTCGAGATGCAAAAGGATAATCAAGAAGATCTTGACCTGGAGTATGTTCAGTTCAACGTACCAAAGGTTCTTGCTCTCTTGAATAAACGTTTCGCTAGAAAGAAAGGATGGTAAAGCGCAACCACCCCGCATCCTCATAATCCAGGATACATTTCCTTCTATGGAAATACCTGCTTTTTGGCTGCTAGGTCGGTCGCAGGCTGTATGATTATTCTCAAGTCGTTCAAGTCATCGATAGTGTTGGATGGTGAATCATCGGAGTTGTGTTTTTTGATCTCGATATACCTGGTGGCATGGTTTTGATGGCGTATATGACAATTTTCCGATATTGTGCAGGCGGAAGCTTTATACCTTTTCTCTTTGTTTAATTTCTCCCGATATATCTTGTTTTAATGGGTGGTAGGGTGATGTTTCTTGCGCTCTTCGTCTTTGTTTCTTTGGTTCATTTACGGGTGCCTTCTTCGGTGCGACGAGCAAATCATTTGGAGCGAGACGCTGAAGATGTTTGGTCTGGCTGGTCCGGAGAAGTGACATGATAGGATTTTGCACTATTCAAAGGGGATATGATTCAAGGGAGATCCTCTATCTTGATATGATATTTATTGAAGACATGAGGTTGGGAATGGGAATGGAAAGGAAGATCGGGAATTTACTGGATGAATGTCTGTTATGTCTCCCGTCTTTCCTCTTGCCTGCTAGGAATTTGGGATGGGCGGCTGCACGGATGGATGGGATCTCTTTTGGGAACGGAATGCAAGCAAATGCGAATGCGAATGCACACAATAAGATATGGATATATGATTGTGTAATAGGCGCGTCAGGTCTCGTATACGAGGATAGCGCATACTAGTAGGACGAGACAAATATCAAATGTAATATCATGAATGAATAATAATATTTCTCGAAGATTTGTTATCCAGAATGCTATTGTGAATATGATGTGCTGGCTTGGCTGTAAGTTGCAGCCAATGAGAATGAAATTTTGCGTTTTGCTTGTCCCCAAACAGCCGAATCTCAAGCACTTTGATGACCATGATCATTAAATTGGGATTCACATCACTTCTCTCCTCCATTACCCCTCTTCTACACCCCATACAATCTTGACACAAATGTTACACTCTCCCCCATCATTCATAAAAAACTCCACTTCCTTTGAATCCGAATTTCTGCCGGTGAGCACAAGTTCGCCATCAAGTTCAGAACCTCTGACATCTATAAGTCGGAGTTCTTCATGGTTTCCTTCAGCTAATCCTTTACTTTGCAATCGCTTCCTTCCTTTCAGTATATCAATTTGCTTCGTTGGTTTGATATTGAGATATCCAAATTCCATATCGCGAATATCAAATATGTATTCTACTTTACCGATGGAGAGAATGATCGTGTCTAGGAGGTTATCGGGTGAGATAAGGATTTTAATGGGAAGGTTTTGTGCGCGGCACTCGTATAAAGGACTTGGGTGTGGTGATTTTGAGCTAATGGAAGGTGCCGAGTTGGAGCCTGAGATAACCCCTGATTCGAGAGCAGTACTAACCCCGTTCAAAGCTCCTGTTGCGACAGTCGAACTGGTAGTCGTATTTGGCGGGAGATCACAAGCTTGGCATGTGGTTTTTATTGCCGCTTCCGAGGCTTCGCAGAACTCAGACTGAGACTCATGAATAACGGCAATTTTTAATGAAGTTTCTGACCTCGAAGAAGCTCTCATTTCTGTTGTAGGGCTTGAAATTGCATTGAAGTTCGACGGAAGTATCAACAGATGTACTCTGCTCTCTGCACCATTTCCTTCATACCCGGGTCGTCTCACGAAATTCTTTTTGATCTGCAGCATTTCCTGACTCATGTCTTTCAAAATCTCACTGAACCTTAGATTTAACTCTTCATTCACGCACTCCCATTCTGGCACCGTCCATTTTGGATACAGTCTGCCATGCGAATGCGAAATACGGTACACTCCATGTTTCTTAATGAACAAGTCGCATAGAAAGCAAGCCGACTTACTAGATCCTATGCACCTTGGAGGCAAGTCCGCAGGATATTGCTCATAGAAAAAGATGAGTTGTATCTCACTATGAACATGCAAGATTTGATCACTGTGATACTGAACCTTGGTGCAGTGCACACTTCCAAGCGGATGTTGCGAAACAAACCATTACACCTGATTTTCCGGGAAAAGTCTATTAGGTCGTTACTGATGTCTAGGTATCTGCTTATCTTGTCGATTTGGAAGACAGTGCGGCGGTAGCTGAGATCTAGGTCAATGCCTTTCATTTGGAGCTGGCGTTCAAGTGATGGATTATTGGCAGTCGTCGACACTTTGTGCGCAGCTAAGATTACTGAGGTTAATCGATCCGTTTGTCTGTCTTCGGAAGAGAGAGTAAAGCTTTCAATCTTCTGGCACAGTTCTGAAAGATTAACAAAAAGAGTTTTTTGTAGAGAGGGATTTTCAATATTGGTCTCTAATACCAAAAGCCTACATCGCAATGATTCAACACTGTCAAAAAGCGAAAGTCTGACTTTTCCACCTCGATTCTTTGGTACAATACGACGTCGCAGACGATTTTTGCTCAGCTTGATGATTTGCATGAGGAGGTTTGACTTGTGAGTACCTTTGTGCTCATCCGTTTCTGAACCATATATATGAATTAGTTTTCGACTTTTTCATTCCTGTTCTGTGGAATATTGATCCCGACGCACCCTCACGAGCAGCTTCCTCCACTATATCTAAACATCTACGCAATCCATCCACAGTTTCTGGTAAAGGCGTCTCGTTTGATGCAATTCTAATGGTTAGGGATGACGAATCTCGGCCACTGCCCTCTTCGATCATAGCTGCCGATACACCAGTTGCGCCTCCTTGGCTTGGGCCAGGACTGCTATATGATCTGCTAGATGTTGCTCTTCCTCATGGAGAAGAATGTAACTTTTCGACTGCCGAAAGGTACCGCTCCTATAATTCTGCGGTCTTATGGGCTCCTGGGTCTTTAGAAAAAGTTGCTGGGCGATTTCATGAAAATCACGTTTTGTTGTGGCTAAAAGTTGGCTGTTGGATGCGGTGGACATATTGTGAGCAAGAGTTTAGTGATAAAAGAGTATAGAGGGAATCAGTGTTCAGAAAGCCGAAAACGAAAGGGAAGAAGAATACTTGAGGGCTCGAGATCCCTGACGATGAATAATTCATACGGATAATTGCATTGACGCTCGTCGGAAACCTGCATAGTTTCCTTTTTCCTATTGGATAGGTCATATGTGTCGCAAGGCAGAGATTGGGGGTCATCCATCTACTTGACCTGAGTGGGTCAGTCATTTTGATTGCACGTATTAGTGCATGTGTAGGTGAAATGATGATTGCATGGAGAGCGATCAAAAATATTATTCCCTTGACTCTTGGATTAAATCTTTCATTTTCTCGGAAACTGTACATCAGTTACTCTTGTATACTTTTTCATTCAATTGTTTCAAAGTTTACTTTTTTGCACATTATCAAAGTCACATTAGTATTATCTTGGCACTGATTTTTTTTCCGGTCAAAATTATTATTTGAACTTTTTTGAAATTTTGTATGTTTTTTCGATTGACAAACGCCAGGTTTTTTCAATCTGTCCTACAAAAGAAAACGTGTTGTGGGGAACGCTGTCTCCTTCTGTCTCCTCTTCATCCACCCTCTTCCCCTCCAATTCTTGTCCTAGTCATCCCTGTGGATTGACTGAATAAGGATTCGACTTTTCACCGTCCGGCTGGTGTTGGAGGTGGTGGTCCGGTTCGAGTGGGCGCGGGTTTAGGAGGAAAGTAGTCGAAGAGGAGGATGAAAACCATGGCGATCAAAGCAATCAACTCGATGATCTTGATCAAAGTGATGATGTTTGAGTACCGGAATGATTGTGGTTGTGGTTGTGGTTGTGGTTGTGGTTGTGGTTGTGGTCGGAGTTGAAGAAGGGGTACTTCGACTGGCGGGTCGTCGATGATGGGTTTCTTCGAGGCCTGGGTCTCCGATGGGTGGGTCGTCGAAATCTCGGTCTCCTTGAAGGGCGATGTACAAACGTTCTGTGATTTCGTCATAGATGACTCCGGAGTCGCTTCCGTTATTCATCTTTGTGGTTTTGGTGGTGACTTCTTGAACTTGTGATCTGGGGATGTGGATTGGGATTCTGTATCCGGATTTGATGAAGTTTTGTGTTTGTCTTATCTTGTCAAGATTCGAGTGAATGAAGAGAAAAAGAATTAGGAATGTTGGGGACGAAGTGGTTTGGTATTTATAGGGCAAGGAATGGCTTAGAATAATGTTGTTTGAGGTTTGTTCCTTGGGTATCTCGACACTGTGCTGAGTTTGAGAGAATGGGGTTGGCGTAGCTGAACAAACATTCGGGAAGTTGTGTGGAATTCATTCGGGGCCACATTGTATAAGCAAATACAAGAGAAGTAGATCCAGAAATTCTTTCAATATCAACATACAAGTAGCCAATGGAGAACCATTGCGCATCAAAATATCACGAGATATAAGCCTCCATGTCAGAACAACAGCAGAACATTCAATAAGGTTCGCTCCACGTACTTCAAGCTTTTTTTGTGTGCTTCCAGAATCCGAAATTCAGAATTCTAATTTCCAACTAAGCACCCAAAGATCAAGAACCTGGTCACTTGCACCTGTTGAAGTTGAAGTTGCACATATGAAATGCTAATTTTGAGAGAATCTCAAGCGAAAAAAATTGGCGGCATTGCATTTTGGAGAGGATTAAAGAAAATTTGGGTTAAATAGGTTGATTGATGAGAACAATCCGATGTGAACTAAGTTGAAAGAGATGGAACTGCCTAAGTCGGAAGAACAAGTATCCCGGATAAAGGTGTTTTCATTGTGACTTTATGTACAGATCAGGACCAGATGCTTCTAACTCGATCAGATTGAACAATGTCTATTGTTCTCGCCAGCCATCGCGTTGGGGACAATATGGCAGTGAGGTTACTCTAAACACTGACAATTTTATTCTGTTCTCGTTCTTGCATGCGGCTCAAGCTTGTCTGATTGACAATTGAACAATGTTTGAACAAGTATCTTTACGAACGTATATCAGGATGACATCAATCCTTCCATATCAATTTCAACTCATCTCATCTCATCCTCATTAAGTATCACACCCACATACAACGACTACTATCTCTTCATAACTCAATATTCGAACTTTCAAAAACAAATCCACCACGATTTTTTCAGAAAGAAGAACTTCACGAGTTAGCCAGAAACCCGACAAGATGCCTAGATTCATCAAATTCCAGATCGATTGGCCCATCCACGCCAAGCTCAATAACGACATTCTAGATCAGAGTGCTCACGGAAAGAATGAAACACCAAAGGATTGCACCTGTGATCTCTGCTACGAGCAGTTCTTCATTACATCAGTCGATGAAAATGATGCGGCGGACTCGTCATCAAACGTCCCCATCAGCAGAATCATCCTAGCGCCATCGCAGCCCTGCGATAATAGCTCCAAGGAAATCGAGGATCGCAGGGAGATCCCCGAAGTTGTCGGCTGTAAGTGCAGAGATTGCCGCTGCAACATCCAACAATTCCAGTTGTTTTGGAAAGAACATCAAGCGTTGGTCAAGAAACATTCAAAGCTCATGGATGATTTGTGCTCCACTCTCAAACTTTCACAGCAATTGGAGGATCTTCAATATTTCAAAGAGCGATATGATCAGTTCCGCAAGAGACTCAGTGACGCGGGGATTCATCCCAGATATAAAAAATGCGGAAATGTCGATTTCGTGTCACTTGTATCAAGCAAAGGATGGTGCTTCTCAAATTCCGAATGCCGGATCAAGCGAAGGGAGCAGGGCGCAAGATTGTTGTGTGCGAGGACTTTCTGAGAATGGGGTAACCCAATCACACATTCACGAATTCTCAACCTCAACACAAAGTCGATCAAAAAGCACACCTTCCCTCACGACATAGATAGATACTCTTCGGAGTTTTTGACTTGTCGATTCGATAGAAAACCCCTAGAAAAATTTAAGAAAAATGCCCCCCGCAAAAATAAAATAAACGTGCCGAACCCTCAAATGTGCAAGCTTGTGAATGAAAATGTAATTGGTGAAATGAATCATTCGAACCCAACTGTAGAAAAGACCTGAGGAGTGCTCCCTGTTGTCCCGCAGATTATAGTCTTCCTCACCTCTCATATCAAAATGCTACACACGAGAGAGTGTTTGATATGTTAACCTTCCCTGAGGTGCGATGGCCATGGCAAGCACCGCCGGCCCGTACGTACACCACATTTCATGCAAATTGTGTTATGGACATTTTAACATTGAACAACAGACCGATATGCTGATGCGAAACACAAGCCGGAAAAGGGTATACCGATTTCAATAATGATTCTCTCCATTCTATAAACAATTGATTATGGCAATGATATTGTGGAAAGAAGGGAGGTGGAGATTCGGTGGCTTGGTTAGTCCGCACTGCACTGCACCGCGCTGATTGATGGATTATGGATTACGTCATGATTAACCACCTTAACCCCTTGACCAACGCGAACTTTCTTCATCAAAGCAAAACCACCATTTTCATATTATATTGCACGCAGATTATATGTGAACCATTCTATATATAAAAATAGTAACCTCTCCCTTTTGCATTCAACTCTTTTGTGCACATTTCAAGCCTATCGATGCTTTTTGTTTTCCGTAACTTGGCTCGGAGAAGTCTTCCATATCATAACGCTTCCGCTAGGCCTTGGATCAATAATTTGCCTACAAAATTATCAATACGCCCCAGCTCTTCAGATCTAACTCTTGGAGTTCCTACAATGGATCGTGGAATTAAAAGAAAAGCCGAAATCATATCAGAGCCGCCAAAAAAGACCATCAAAATCGATGATTACTGCAGTACTCCCGTCCGTCGTACTTCCGCAGGCGAAGAGATTTGGCCAGCGCCACGTGATCAACTAGAATCTGCCTACAAATTCATCCGGGAATGCGCAACGGCTCAGAAACCCACTCTTATTGTGCCGGATAAAGATGCAGATGGATTGAGTGCTGGGGTAATCATGTATCGTACTTTGATAAAACTCGGACTTGAAGAAAAGAATTTGAGCGTTCATTTAGTGCGGAAAGGTTCGAATATCCATGAAGAATACGAAAGAAAGGCAATGGCAGAAATGAAACCTAGCTATGTGATTGTTTTAGACCAAGGAAGTCGACGTGGTTTACCTGTCATTGATGATGAGAGTGCGAAATGTATGATCATTGATCATCATTTAAGTGATGACTTTCCCAAGAATGCGACTGTAAGGTGGAAAACATTCTTCTTGTGGCAACGATACTAACATTCGAGGGAAGGTTGTTTCAGGCTGCCATTGCCCTCCAGTTCCAACGACAGCTCTCATGACTTACGAAATTTGTAAAGAACTTCATTCTGATATTGCTCAAGAATGTGGCTATCTTTGCGCAATCGGAACACATGGTGATCTAGGAAATACCATAAAATGGATACCCCCATTTCCAGATATGAAAGACACTTTTAAGAAACATACAAAAAAGCTCATTAATGATTGTGTTTCTTTGATTAACGCTCGTATGTTCAATGAATTCCTAAACCTCAATCGCTGAACTTCATATAGCACGAAGAACTGGTACTTATGATGTTATTACTGCTTGGAAAGCACTACTCGGAGCCAAAGATCCAAAGGAAATCATGACAGATAAGAGGCTCGCCGAAGCAAGACGCGAGATCAATGAAGAGGTTGAGAAACAGACTCATACACCACCAAAATTCAGTAAAGATGGGAAAATTGCGGTGTTGAAAATCGAAAGCGAAGCTCAAGTCCACCCGGTTATTGCTACGCGATGGGTATGTATTGAGTCACTGAAACTACTTCATTTCACTAATCATTTTACAAAGGCCGGCTTCTTGAAATCTAAAGCCCTAGAAATAGTCATGGTGGCAAATTATGGCTACTTGCCCGGCAAGGTAAATTTCTCATGTCGGATTGCTAGATGTGCTCGAGGTCGCGATCCACCAGTCAATATTATCGAGTCATTAAAAGCAGTGGCCAATTTGGATACTACAGATTTAGTTGAGCGATTAGGAGAGAACTTCGCTCGTGGTCACAAGGAGGCCTCAGGTGGAATTGTCAATTCTGCTGAATTCGAAGAATTATGTGAGTTAATGAAGGTTGGTGAAAAAGCCGAAAAGTCGGAGCAAGAGGCATTGACAAAGAAATTCGGCAAGTCACCACAGAAAAACACCTTGAATAATTATTTCATAAAGACTTGAGATGGTGATTTGTAGGTTCAATGAGAGGATATGAGCAATGTATTTATTTAAACGCAATTAAATAAGAATCAGTAACATCTGCGAGTAAAATTTCAGAAAGACTGCTTCGGAACAAGTCAATACAGTCTTGTTAGGCATCTTCGCCTTCGCCCCTCAATATTTTGTCTCGGAGAAAACACGTCCATCAAGCTTGAGCACTTTCACCCATGGAGACAACTCTTCATGTTTTCTACCTGCCATTACATTCTCCATCCAGCGCTTGAATATATTCAATGGCATGTGCTCCCACAATTCCCAGCCCTCCATTTGGTGGAATATGGCTGCCTTCTTGCACTCGAATACATCATCATACGTTGGATCCGAGAAGTGCGGCTTTGTGATCGGGTATATAATGCCACATTTCCCCGTTCTAGTAGGGTCCATTTGGGCAGGCCAAAGAGTTCGTATTGGTAAATCGTCGTCTGTAGATCCTGGTCCTGTCGGATCTGGCTCTCCAGGATCCCAATCTAAAGCGGGTTGGCCATGCCATTTGACCTTTTTGTACCTAGTGGATTTCTTAACTTTTGTTCGAGCTTCTGCCTGGGATGCTTTCTCCTCTTCCTCCTCTGTGTCTGGATCCGCTTCATCCTCTGTGTCTTCTTCATCCCATTCGTCCATGATATTTCCTACTACGGCCGGAGGGGGTCGAATATTTTGCTTATAAGTTTCATCAATAATGATCTCTTGTAGCTCTGTTGGGATTTTGAACAATGGATAATTGAATGGGTAGTTGAATCCCCCATTTAAAAATTCCGCTGCGACTCTTATCCGTTTTCCTGTCAATCCAGGGATGGGGGAGAGATCTTTTCCAGATACATAACAAGCCATGTCATATCCAAATATTAAATTCACGGCACTGGCCATGGTATTCAAAGCGCAATTGTAGGGATCGTTCTGTCGAGTTGCGTTGGGACTATTGTCTGTCGTTCTGTTCCTTGGCAGTGCATGATCCGTGCGGTAGGACCATTGCCCGTACAATGGCCACTCGGCGGTGTCAATCTCTCCTTTGTCGAATCTTGTGTATATGATAGCTTCAAGTAAAGACATTTGAAAAAACGAATGATAGTAAGCTCCGTACGTCTCATCTAATGCACTTTCAAATTTGGGTCTCGACAGACCGGAGTTGTCGATATGGAAGACAAATCTTTGCTTTGGTGCTATTCCTATGCATTGTGTATGGAAGGCGCCAAATTCGTGTGGAATCACAATATAGTCAAGATTGGCAAAAGTCTCATCATCATACTGTGCCAATGCCTTCATAGTCTTTTCCCAAGCTCTGGGAAAGTCTTGCTCCACAAGCCGACGAATAGGCTCCCCAGCTTCATCCACTCCTTCCCTCACGAGGCGACCTTTATCTTGATCCCAATACAACTTGTCAGAATCAATGATTATGGAGCTGATTTTCTGTTTGGTTGGTGTATCACCAGCTAGGTCGCCACTCTTGAGTGTTCTTGCTATTGCTCTGTTCCTATAGTCGCAAGCCATGTAAACATACTAATCATAGTTTGTCACATCAGCAATAATCTTCAAATGTTCAAGTTCAACTGAAGTACTAGCTTGGAAAAACTTATGAAAGCCAACTTACCAAATCAGCAATAGTGTTCGTGACATGGCCAAGCTCGTACTCTTCCATTGCACCAGTCTCGTCGAATTCACGATAGTGAGCCTTTAATAGATACCTCCAATCACCTTTTGCCAATTTCATACCATCCAAATCAACTGCCCATTTTCCCCATTTTTTCTCATCCACTTTGTACATTTCTGTCAAGACCCTCCAAACCCAATCAGGAGTCATTGGTGCGAACTGTCTTCTTTCCATCTCAAGTCTTATTTTACTATCTAATTTATCAGGTTCTGGGCGGGGGATAGGTGGTTGAAGATGAGTGAACTGGGGTGGATAGCGAGGAGGGTGCTCGAGGTCAATTTCATATTTCTTTCGCAGCTCGTTGATGATGCTGGATTCTTTGCATCCATCGCTGGTTGTTACGCGCGTGACACGCTTACGTTTACCGATGCGTTGGAGTGGAATGGGAGGAATTTGTATTTGAGCGATGGAGGTGGTAGGCATTCGAGAGCGGAACTTCCAATTATTTGCCATCGCTGGTTGATTTTGATGAGATCGTGATGAGGGATGTGATATTTTAGTTCGAAAGTATAAATGGGATCAAATACATATTCTGAAGATTTGACAAACTGAATTTCAATGCTTCACCATAAAGAAATATCGGGCTTTGATAATCACCTCCGTCAAAGGAACTTTTTGATTCATTTACAAATCAGGCCGCATCTGGTTCCTCACTAGATTTGTTATAAACGATAGCCAGTCAAAGACAACACAAAGAATTGACAAGGACAAGAAATTTATATCGTGATCCTCTACCGCTACCTTTGCACTTTCCATAGAAGTCTCGCTTATCAAAAGAGGGGGGCTACTGTCGAGTAAGATCTAAATTTCCGAAAAGAATCATCAATCTTGAAAAGATATCCTATGGAGAGTGTGTTTCGCCATTGTCTCATAATCATCGAAGACACCATTCAATGCTCCGTTTGGATGCCACGATGTCAATAAGTGGAAGTCATGATTATCGATTTTCAAAGATGATTTACAATGGTCAATGGCTGTGCTAGGCTAGGTGTACAATGCACAATTTGACAATGTGAGGGAGGTCATGGATGATAGTGGGGTCAGTTAGCTTCGGAGTAGGATGTGTGAGGGCATAATATACAGGTGAGATTGAATGCAATTGGTAAACTCTTCGAACATGTGAGCTCAATCATATATTCAAATTGTGAGATATCTGTCGGTGGGAAAGAAATTCAATAATTTCTACTCGGGCAAAGTCCGGCGCACGGACAGTTTGCTCCATGAAAAAGAGAGCGAAGGAGTTGATAACCGATATCCCTACATCGTGCACATCCCTGTATCGTGCACGTTTTTAAACTCACTCTACAACAACTTCAATATTTAATAATAAATACATTCAATAAGATATAAAGCTATAAGTTGTCTAAGAGTATAATAAGATATAATAGATTAGAAAAAAAGATTTAAAACTTCCTTATTTAAATCTTATAGGAATCTTGATCTGTTAGCTTTGTTTCGATTGTATAACCCTCTCTCTTTCTTTTATTATTGATTTATTTATTATTATTATATTAGAGGGCTCTATAGCTTTCTTAGATGTTAGATCTATAATATATAAACCTTTTTGAAGCTTTAAATCTCTTTTAATAGAAGATCCTATTGATTTACAAGCTCTTTTAATTTCCTTTTTAGTATTTCTTGTAAGTTGATAATCCATCTTCCTTTGTATTATTCTCTCTTTAACTTTAATCACCTCCTTTTCCTTTTTAGCTTTCTTATTAGCTTTCTCCTATATCTTAACTTCCTTTTCCTGTTTTATAGCAAGCATTTTCTCTGATTAAAAGATTTTAGCTTTTTCAATCTAAAAGGGGGAATATAAAAAAGTATTATTAGTCTCCTCCTCTATAAGGTTTAAATACTTGAAATAAATCCTTTTCTTCTTTTTCATTTTTAGAACCTCTTCTAAACCTTTTGCTCTATATGATTGAATATCAGCTTTAACTGTATTAGTAAAGGCAGTCTTAAAAAGCTTTGAAGTGATTTCGAGATTCTAATTTTGTTGAAATTCTAATTTAAGTTGATATAAAGCTTTTGATGTATATAATATTTTAAATTTATTTTCTATAAGCTATATCGATATAGATAGTGTAATAGTTTTTTCTGATTTTATATTAGATATAATAGCTTTCTTGTTAAATAAATAAATGCTTGCTTTTTTGAAGGATCATAATATATTATGGGAAATCGCAGATTAAGCCCAAGCTACTTTAAAGATAGCCCAAAAGTTGTGTTTCGACATATTAATTAAATCTCTGCTTTTATATATTCAATTATTAAGTTCTATATTATAATTTATTAAAAGGAAAAGGAAGTAGCCTATATCGAATGGTTGTAGTTGATATGTAGAATGAGAAGGCAAAATCAACAATATAATTTTCAATTTGTTGTATTTTGATATAAATTCTATATTGATATGACTAGAATAATTATCTACAATCAATAGCCAATATCCTTTGCTTGCTTTTAGATATATATAATATTAAAAGACTTTTGTAAGTTAATTAAGCCCAAAAGCATTAGATAACCATCTATTACTTGAGGCTCCGAAATAAACTTGATCTTTTATATCCACTTTATTAATCTATGTATTTTATAGATTGCCTAATTCCTTTTTATAGATTAAAGTAGATGATAAAGCTGTATTATTGGTAACTATATATATTAAAAGAATAATAAACTCTTTCGATTTGTTTTGTTTAGTTTTTATAATTCTACCTTTTTTATATATATTAATATTTATATCACGGAGGTAATAGCTATGTCTAATGGTCACTTTGATCAGGAGATAGGTATATAGAGTGATAATAAACTAGATTGACTTGAGGTGTGATCATAAGGATCATACCTGCTTTATATACCCTGATCAGGCGATGGAGTCGCCTAATTAGGTATATAGGGTACACAAATGAACTGAGTGAAATAGTTTTAGTAATCATGAGAATGAGTACTCCGGAGGAGTACTAGGATTAATACCGTAGGGTTACACTATACGGTGAATTCCGTGACAATTTATTATTCTTTTTATAGTTCTCCCAAAACCGATTAGGAACCCCTTCTCGTTCCAATTATATATATTTTTCAATATAATATTATATTTTATGATTGCTTTTGCTAATTAAATGGATAAAAGAAAAAGATTAATAAAAACTTTTTTAAATAATATAAATCAACAATAATATAAAATAATACTAATAAGATTATAAAAGTATTCAAATATATCCACATTATCAGCCTTGATATACAAATTATCAATACAACAAAGATACCGACTTTGTAACACTTTGCCTTAGAAGAACTGCGAGAGCAGGGTACAATTTATCCTTAGAATCTATAACTATAGAATCAGAAGCAAAGTACTTATAGAGTGCTCCTATATATTAGCTATATATACGTAATTGTGTATGTGTGCAAGCATGTATGTGAGCAATCGCAGTTACAATTGGGTATAATCCATAATACTATTCTCCCTTTCGAAAAAGCTTGCCCTCAAGCTTTATAATTATCTAATCCGTAAATACATCAGCAATCCTAATAAGGCATTGTTGTTTATATTATAGCATAATGTAATAAACGGGTGTATATACAAATTTTGCTTTTTTTGTAACAGGAAGGTGTATAGAAAATAAAGAAAACCGTTCTATAGTCTAACAACAACACAAAGCCTTTGAAGTATATAGATTACTCAAATTTCCCTCTTTCTTTCAAATCTTTTTTGATTACTTATTTTCTTTGTATTCCTTAATCAATAATCAATATGCCTTTCATACTATCAAGAAAACACAATAGCAAGAGTAAGTTGTTATCAGTGTAGCTAAAGTAATAAAAGGATGTGTATATAGTAATAAATTGTTTATTTTTCTTTTGTATTTGTTTTACTGATATATTTCTTTATAGTTTATAATAAAAAGAATGTTTGCCTTTTCTGTTATACAAGGCAAGCATTCTGTTGAAAAAGAGAAGGAGTCGAGCCGCAATAGGAGTAGCAGTAATCCTATCAGCAAGGAAAAGGATAATAAGGAAGATAAGTTGAACAACAAAGATGTATGTAAATAAGACTTTTTTTTGATATCTCTGGCTTGTAATTAGCTTGTCTAACAAATGCGATTATAGATACCAAAGGCAATATACCTGAGAATAAGATTAATCTTTAATATACTTATTGGATATATTTGTTTTATTATCTTCTGAAATAGAATTCGGAAAAAGAATATAATTTCTTAATCGATCATATTAACAATTACAAAAAAAGTTCACTGACAAGTTAATTATAGCAGTATATTATTTTCGTAATCTCGAAAATAATAGTGAGATAGTTAAAAAAAACATTCTGGAGGCTTTGCATCAAAATCAACCTGATCACAAATTCGATATACCCTGTCATAGAAGTGTTGACTTTATTGATATCGATAAATAGGAATCTCTAAATAAAAGATCATTAAAAAAGATAATATCACAATAGAAACAATACGTTTAAAAGGATAGCTGGATTTGTACTGGCTACATATATAATTATATTTCCAGCAAGGGAGATAGCATCTGCTATCAACTTTCTGGATAATTGTCTGATCAATCTTACTATCTGTTTTGTCTGGCTGATAAGTATAAATATAAGCGCTTGTTTAATAGGGATACGCGTAAAATGTTTCTCCAATACCGATCGACTATTACTGAGTATAGTAATATAGCAAAAATAAATTATAATTTTTGTTAGCTTTTAGTAAAGTTAACTCTTAAAATAGCTTGATATACAAAAGGAGTTAAAAAGTTATATTTCGAAAGAAATACTTTCTCTTACCCTTACTCGAAAAACCACAAAGCATCGCATAACAGAAGTTGCAGTATAGAAAGACGAATTAGAGTAACAACACTAGCTCATTATAATTTAAATAAAACAAAGCTTTCAGCAGCTTACAAATAGTTGGATGCGACTAAACGCCAGCTCGATCTTATTATCGTGCATACTACAACTAAGAATTATCTTGTCTTTCAGCTTGTGATTATCCTATATATACTTATTATCGCTATTAACTAGAAACTCAACTAATATTTCGATTTAAACCATCCAATCTTTACTATTATATCTTGCCTAATTGTAACCGTTAATACCCGTAGAGACTTTCTTTCTGGTTTGATTTAAGTTTGTCGGATAGGGGAAAAGACTTTTTTTATTGATATTTCATTTTTGTTCAATTGCTTTCAGTTTTTTATATAATTAGGATTTTCTTTATTATAATAATAAATTAAAGAAATTCTTTTTATCTTTTTCATTCATATATTAATTATTATCTATGAAATTATAATTATTCTTTTTATTTTTATAAAAACGAATCCATTCCGGTAGGTGCACAGAGGGTCCTGGCAAAGTGAGATTTTATAAATAAAAGTCATAGAGATGGTATAGAATAGTTTTTAAGTTAGAAACAGGGTACCAGATAAGATTGTTATCAGCGTTC